AGAGTTCATACACTTGCGGGGGTGCAACGACGTGTTTTTCTAGTCGGAAGTCGTGCAGGACCTCGGCAGGTGTGGGCCACTGCAGTATAGAAAACAAAGGCGAGAGTTTTGAGAGGTTTGGTCGTTTATTTCTGGAAGACGTCACGTTCTCACTACTTAGGTCATGTTGACTTGATTATATGGATGACATCCGCTCGCGCATGAATTTTCGTACGTTTCAAAAAAAAAGTTTCGACCATACTGTAAATCGTACAAAATCGTACAAAATGAGCAAATATATGTCCGTTACAAAAGAAAAGTACTGGAAAACGATACTAATGTCATAGAATGCCGAAATTAATTCAGGAAAAGAAGAAAATGTGATGAAATAAAAATGCAGAGTCTATTATCATTCGCCATACCATATTGTGTGTTTAGTCATTTGTTCAACCTTTATGACCACGTAGACTTCATAATGCAGGAAACTTTTTTTGCCAAAGAGGTTCAAGGCCTGGCGCTGCTCTCGTCCGCCGGCTGAAGACAACTGCCATTGGAGACTTGTCCCTCTTTTTGAGGGGGGATACGTGTAAAGGGGGCACACCCCAGTTTATTTGGGGCCTCTATTCGAAGCTGCACGCCCTCAAATCTAGCGACCGTCTCTGGCGTGGAATAATTCGGAAGGAGAATAACTGTATATGGGACGAAAGGATATCTCTTCAGCTACAAGACAAGCTGAGTTTGGTTTCTTCAACCTTTTTAAGTTTGGTAAAATCAACGGAAAAAACATTATTTTCACTCCAAAATTAATGCCCATAATTGCGAAATTTCGCGTAGGATAATCCCACAGAAAAAAATTTTCCGGCAGAAATGACTGATGCTGGCAGAAAGACCCAAGCCTTGACTATACCCGGGTAAATTATAAAGAAAATTCTAGTACTGTAATTTTCTAAACAGTCCACGGCGCGAGGGGTTGCAAATCCACCCCTACGAAGCCGCAGAGCGAAAACTACATGTAGGTCAAACGGGCGGATTACACTTGGCGCGCAAGGATACCCGGAAGTAAGGTTCGGAGCCAAAAGAAATTTTCACCCCAAAATCACCATTTCTTACACTCTTCAGCCATGTTAATGTTTAATGATATTTCGTGGCAGTTTATGAGAAATGTCACCTCAAACTTGGACCCTCAAAACCCTTTCGTCACTTTTTTACAACGGACTATCACATGAAAGCTCAGGTAGATTTGATAGGCGGCGCTTTTGTAACGTTAGTCAGTGTAACGTTATGTTCACTGGGGACGTTTTCCTCAATGAGAAACTATTAACACAAGTTGCTCTTTTGCACGAGGGATTAAAGAGGCCATCTACATCAGGGCTTTACAGCCATCCCTCAACAGAGACGGGGGGCGCCACAGACTTTCTGCAACCTATGATCCACTACTCACGGAGTCACGTGTGTTATCTGCGTGACGTCACGGAAGCTGTGGATTGCCCATTCCTTGACAAAGACTGGAGTTGTGGTGAGTAAATTTGAGTGAGTCCAATTTTTTGTTGTGTTGGAAATTGCAGTTTAAACTTACTTCATAACTAGAGAGGCCGACATTTGCTTGGGAGCAAATACAGCATATTTCAGTCCATCTCCCTCCCACGCAAAAGTGGACTATTCCAAACTTACCCCAGTGTAAAACTGGCAAAGATTCTCAAATAAATGAATTATATACAGTAGTAGTAGTAGGTATGTAATTGAGAACAAAGATGCAAGATCAAGCACATTGAATCTCGAAAGCTTTACTAGTCTTATTACAGGTATGCAAATACTAACAATGATGAGATTTGATACATTCTGAAGGTCTTAGGCACATAAAATTGAATGTGTGGGTCATTCCGCATGACTTACGTGCAATGTGACCTCAGGTAACCCGCAATGGAACACGTGTTCCATGGATGGAACCGGCCATTCTTTAGATAGAACATGGAACGGGTACAGCACTTTTGGCCCTTTTTTGCTGAAAATAGCCATTAAAGTCCTCCAAATGAGTCATTTGGAAGTGGTGTATGCCAAATATGTGACTGCTATTCTGTAGACGCATGTTCAAGGTACCCCTATACCGAATTTCAGATCATTTGGTTGTAAAACCAGGGCTCAGGATCCAAAAATCCATTTTTTGGCGAAAAATGCCCCAAAAACCTCCATAAAAATTTTTCAAAGGCATGTATCAAAAAAATGAAAAAAAAACACCTGGGGGTATTGGCCCACTCTACCTCCATGCCAAATTTCAAGTCATTTGGCTGAATGATGGCGGAGTTGAATCCCTCTGACTGTTTGGCAGGAGGAGAAGGAGGAGAAGAAGAAACGCCAGAGAACACAATACATTTCATCCATACCATGGTATGGACTGAAATATAATGACTTCTACCAACACAGATGAACTTTCAAGATAAGTTGTTCTTTCGTCGTGACCGGCACCCCGAAGAATATTTACACAAGTTGCATGAGAACTGCACCACCTGGCGAACATGTAACGTTAGTTAATAATTCACATTAACACCAGCCCTATACAAGATGTTGTTCCTCCGTGTGTTAGTGGTGACCACTGTTCTTCAGTGGTCAGTAGTGACCGGGGAAGGCCAGACTGACCAGTTAACCCTGTCACTGTGCAGGGTTTGGGATGAGTGTTTGCAGACAGGTTGGTTTGAGTTATAACGTTATGAGAAGTCTGTGTGATAACATATTACCATATGGAATATCCACAATTGGCACAGTTTGCTCTAACGTTACCTCTTCATTCCTACTACATATATTATGTTTCTATATGATATCTAATGCCACACAACAGATACTTTTTAGAAAATAGATCAAAACCAAAGTGTACAGAGATGTGTATTATGCAGAATATGCACAGATTATGCAAAATGTGCATATAGTATGCCTTAAGTGATATCACAAAACTACATATATATTCAAAGGTGCAATCGATATAGGAATAGGTGTACCTGTTGTTCATTCATTATGCTTTATTATGTTTACCGAAGGAAAAATGTTTTTGCTACGTTTCCTCTTCTTCATCTTCTTCTTCTTCTTCCGTTCCAAACACTGACCTCTGACCTGGCCAATGGCCTGATTTGTTGACGTCTATCACCATGGTAACTAGTATCGGGTAACATAATGTTGCAATTTCATAGTAGGAGGGATTTATTCTCCCGTCTGACCATATATATGAATGTATTTGATTAAAGATTAACAGAGCAGACCATATGCGAAGGTAAACATTATGTATTTGCTTTGCAAATGTTACCTTTCTAGTTCTTTTAGTGGCGGTAAGGCCATGTTGATTCGATTATATGGATGGCATCCGCACGTGCATGAATTTTCGGCCGCTTCCAAAAAAAGTTTTCAACCACACTGTAAATCGTACAAAAAAGTTGCAAAATGAGCAAATATATACCCTAAGTTGCAAAAAAAAATTTTTGAAAACGATATTAATGTCGTAGAATGCCAAAAATAAACAAAAAGGATGAAAATGTAAAGAAATGAAGTTGAAGAGTAGATTATTCTCCATGCCATACCATAACCATGTAGATTTCATAATGAAAGCAACCTTTTTTGCCCATTTTTTTTTATTCGCACGCTCGCATCAGTTTTGGGGTTCCCACAGGATGTCATCCATATAATCAAATCAACATGGCTTTATTGGCTAGAAAAGTAAGACATACTGACAACGTCATCACTTGATATCACACAACAAATTTAAAGAATTATCAATTGAAATCACACCAAAATCAAAATTATGCATGAAATTTACATATTGATGCACTTATTACAAATGTAGGGAAAATAATGGTGTGTGTCAACTCGCCATCGTTTACTAAAACTACACAATGCTGTTCAGTGTATATCAACCCAATATATACATACACCAATTTTTAAATTAAAGAAGTTCAATACATCAAATAAATGTCTGTTGTTAACATCATAAGTCAATCTTATAGCAAAAGGCTATTAGCCAAATTCATGCCTAAAGGCTATATTAAAAGATATGATGGTGAATAAAGAAACATGAAATTACAAAAGTGCAAGAGAATTGTAAAACTACTATCTGATACAGTTATAGTTAGGTTTGTAAGTAAAACCACCGTATGCGTACAGAGTAGAGTTCAGCCAGACACTATTTTCTGCAATGGTAACCACTTTGCCATGGAAGGAATCACGGAGTGTTGCTGTTCCGGAATGTTCCGTCCATGAGCTCGTGCCCATTTTTCCAAGTTCCGTCCATGAGCTCGTGCCCGTTATTCCGGAATGTTCCGTCCATGAACTCGTGCCCGTTTTTCCAAGTTCCGTCCATGAGCTCGTGCCCGTTGTTCCGGAAAGTTCCGTCCATGAGCTCGTGCCCGTTTTTCCAAGTTCCGTCCATGAACTCGTGCCCGTTTTTCCAAGTTCCGTCCATGAACTCGTGCCCATTTTTCCAAGTTCCGTCCGTGAGCTCGTGCCCGTTGTTCCGGAATGTTCCGTCCGTGAGCTCGTGTCCGTTGTTCCGGAATGTTCCGTCCATGAGCTCGTGGCCCGTTGTTCCGGAATGTTCCGTCCGTGAGCTCGTGCCCGTTGTTCCGGAATGTTCAGTCCATGAGTTCGTGACCGTTGTTCCGGAATGTTCCGTCCGTGAACTCGTGCCCGTTTTTCCAAGTTCCGTCCATGAGCTCGTGCCCGTTGTTCCGGAATGTTCCGTCTATGAGCTCGTGCCCGTTGCTCCGGAATGTTCCGTCCATGAGCTCGTGACCGTTGTTCCGGAATGTTCAGTCCATGAGCTCGTGCCCGTTGTTCCGAATGTTCCGTCCGTGAGCTCGTGCCCGTTGTTCTGGAATGTTCCGTTCATGAGCTCGTGACCGTTGTTCCGGAATGTTCCGTCCATGAGCTCGTGCCCGTTGTTCCGGAATGTTCCGTCCATGAGCTCGTGCCCGTTGTTCCGGAATATTCCGTCCATGCGCTCGTGCCCGTTGTTCCGTAAAGTTTCGACCCGGACTTTGTGCCTATTGCTGAGGCTCTGGGTCCCGGGGTAGAGGATCGCCCAGAGCATCTCGCAGCCGCCTCCAGAACAGCGGCCTTTTCCGCACGTCGCCTGGCCACGCCAGGTACGTGTCCCTCTTCACTACGGCGTTCAGATGGCGGAACTGTTTCAGCATTTGTTTAGGAATCCTCTCCAGAAACACCAGGATGAGACGCCTCCCTCCCCCCTTCTCAAACATGTGGTACTGGGCCAGCTGGAACTCGTATTCGCACCACTTACTCTTCAGGAAGTTCCTGGTGATGAGGCAGACGGTTCTCCGGCTGTTTTCCACGGCATCCGCGATGTTTTCCACAATGGGAGCGCCCACTGCAAAGTCCCTTTCGTGTAAGACCAGACTGTAGTCAGGTTCTAGATTCTCTATCGCTTCATGTATAACCCACCAGACGTCCCGGTTGTTGTAGGCAAGAAAAGCATCGTGCGTGTATCTGGGCGGCTCGTGGTCCTCTACTTCACCAATCTTCGGTCTCCTCCACTTGGCCAACATCCACAAGAGGTACTGAACACGGCCGACGTGGTAGTCGACCAGGAAAATGGTCATCATGGCGAAGAAGATGCCGGAAGAGGCGAGCACACAAGCCAGGAGGCGGTTGGGCTGGAATCCATGACTACAGACTGTGTCGAAGAACATTTGTTCTGAAACTTCTGCTGGATCCTGTCTATCCTTAGAGTGTTGTTTCTGTGTCAACCCGTCTGTCAAACGTCTTCCACGCAGATGACCTGGAAGGAAACATCTGTACCCTCGACCAATGTCAGCATAGGGGTTGTGCATGTTCTTTACCCTGTCGTATTTATACAGGGCCCACTCGACAAACCATACTAAGTGACAGTCACACAGAAACGGGTTGTCTGCAATGTTTATTGTCTCTAATCGGAAGACAACTGGGCCAAATGTTGTTTGATTCAATGCAGCCAAACCGCAGTTGTTGCTCAGATTCAGGTGCCTCAACCGATACAGACGCTGAAAGGCGTTCCCAATCACTGCTATCCTGTTGGCTTCCAGGTTTAGATGTGTGAGGTGGCCCAAACCTTCAAATGTCAGCTCTGTAATATGCTGTATATTGTTATCACGGAGATCCAAGAAACGTAGCCGCGATAGTCTACGGAAAGCGGATGGCCTGACGGTTTTGATATTGTTATTACTGAGATCTAAATGTTCCAATTGGTCCAACCCTGTCAGCTGCCCAGCCTTGATTTTATAGATTCGGTTGTGAGAAAGAGTCATCTTTTTCAAATATTTCGTGATTCCTTGTGATAAGAAATCTATTGCTTTTATAACGTTGAAATCCAGTCTAAGAGTTTCTAAGACTGATTGTCCATGTGGTGAATCATCATTGAAAAATGAAGAAATTTCATTGTTAGAAAGGTCGAGATACTTAAAATTCGCCATGCAGAGGGAGCAATACATCACTTTGTTGTGCTGCAAATCAAGCACAGTAATATTCCTAGGCAGCCAAGTAACGTTGACGTTTTCAATTTCATTATGACTCAAATTCAGATGATGTACGGTTTTTAAACCACTGAGGTGGAATGATCCGTCGTTTAAGTTATTGTGACTGAGATCAAGGTTGACCATGGTCACTGGAAGCTGAGCTTGGAAGCTTGCCAAGCGATTATGGCTCAAATCAAGATAGGTGAGAGAGGGGAGTCCTTTAAACACGCCTTGTGGTAAACATGACATTTTGTTATCTGTCAAGTTCAGATGAGTGAGAGAGGACAATCCGACGAACGTCTTGTTGTGTAAGGTTTTCAAGAAGCATGCCGTCAGATCCAGCCTTTGTAAGCGTAACAAACCTGAAAAAGCGTAAGCTTGTATGGCATAAACGAAACTGTGCTGAAAAATCAAAGTTTTCAAACGTTTCAGATCTTTTAGTCCCGCTAGATTACCAGATGTTATTGTGCGAAATTTCCACGAGTGGAATGTCAACTGTCGAATCTGGGTGTGTCTGAGTTCAGGAAGAATGCCTGGATCTGAAACACGTTGAAGGGTCAACGTCTGTAAATGTATAAGTGGCCTCAGCAGGCCTGGAGCTACCTTTGCGGTGATGTGTAAATGTCTCAGAGTTAGAAACAGCGGCCGAAACATTTGAACCTTGAGGGGAGACCTAGTAGGCAATGAAATCATTCCCACAGTCTCCAACTTAGACAGGTTTCTAAATACTGGTCCATAGTAGCAGTCACTGGCTCTTGCTAGATGAAAGAGACTCAATGTTTTAAGGTTGTGCAGCGGTGCCCACAGCAGGCGTCGTTGTAAGAACCCACTTCCGCTGTGGACTCTTCTCATGGTGGTGTTGCGGTCCTCTTCTATGGCATCACTTTTTATGAGTTCTTCTATCTCTAGACTTTTTAATGAAGTCAACGAATCAAACATGTGATCGGGTAAATTGCTGATATTTTTCACACTGAGGTGTAAATGCCTTAGACTACATAACCCCGTGAACACTCCCTGACTGACTGTATCGGTGTAAGTCTTGACGGTCAGATATTTCAGGTTTCGCAGATCTTGGAAGAGTCCATTTTGAAGAGGATAGTTCAATGGCCATTCCTCTGAACTAAGTTCAAGACGTTCTAAATTCTCCAACCCAGCGAACGCACCGACCTCGATGGTTTGTATAGGATTACCAGACAGGTCTAAGGATCTCAGCTTTCTTAACCCACTAAACGAGCCGTTATACAGTATAGTTATGTTGTTTCTACTGAGATCCAGTGTGATGACAGTCTCGGGGATACCTGGAGGTAGAAAAGGAGTGGGGAGAAAACCAGGTTCATCCGGATCCCCTTTACACACGACGGTTGTTGAGTTCCAGGTCTGACACACAGGTGGGGGGAGTTGTCCTCTAACCCGTCCATGTTGGGCGATGAACGCAAGAACCGCAGCAAAGCAGACGGCGAGAGGAGCGGGCTTAGACTCCATGTTAGGTTCTTCTCATTTTAAATCTGTGGAAAACACCAACATGTGTTAAATAATGCCCCGCAATGAGGTGTATATGGTGAGACAATCCCTGGTCAGATGCGATAACTACCGAATAAACCACCAAGTGAGCGTAGCGAACGAGGTGGTTTATCTATGCTTATCGCACCTGACCAGGGATTATTTCACCACACACACCGAGGATAAGGCGGGGCATTAACGTTATTATCATATAGCCTATCCAACTGATACAGTTATTTGACACAAAATCCCTTATAACACGTAAACGTGGTGTCAAAATTATGTTTAGTCTTTTTCTTCTTAAACTTTCATATCTTTTCCATTGTGTTGTACCGGGTATTTTCAAATTCCTTTAAAAAATTTCTTCACTAAAAACATAACCTTTTGGCGAAGGTAATAAGCCGAAGCCTAAATTTCTTGGCATGCTCACAACATTGGGATCCCTTTTCCTTGTTCCGTTCTTTTTTAATGTATTTTACGGCAGTCACGATTTCTGGAAGTACGGTGGCCCATACAGACAAATTGTAATTTTCTTGGCATGCTCACAACACTGGGGTCGCATTTCCTTGTTCCTTTTTCACTGTTTCCTGAAGTACGGTGGCCCATGCAGACGAACTGTCGTCATTTCTTTGTTCATCAGGTTGTTATTTCAACAAATCATACAAGTGACAAATTGCAAAATTGTCCGATAGGCCGTGTTGATTTGATTATATGGATGACATCCGCGTGCGCATGAATTTTCGGCCGTTTCCAAAAAAGTTTTCAACCATACCGTAAATCCTACAAAACAGTTGCAAAATAAGCAAATGTATACCGTAAGTTGAAAAAAAAACACATTTGAAAACGATGCCAATGTCTTGGAATGGCAAAATCAAACGAATAAGACGAAAATGTAAAGAAATGAATTCGAAGACCAGATTATTCGCCAAACCATACTCTGTGTCATTTGTTCAACCTCCAAAACCACGTAGATGAGAATCATGAGATAGATGGGATAAAGGAAATTATTCTGATCTGCCTTGACCCATTTCCGAGTCTTAGTAATGGTAAGACCATGTTGATTTGATTATATGGATGACATCCTCTGGGAACCCCAAAACTGATGCGCGCGTGCGATTAAAAAAAAGTTTTGCAAAAAAAAAAGTTGCTTTCACTATGAAATCTACGTGGTCATGAAGGTTGAACAAATGGCACAGAATATGTTATGGCGAATAATCTCCTCTTCGAATTCATTTCTTTACATTTTTGTCTTTTTTCCTTTGATTTTGGCATTCTACGACATTGGTATCGTATCTAAATGTTTTCCTTGCAACTTATGGTATATTTTTGCTCATTTAGCAACTGTTTTGCACGATTTACAGTATGGTTGAAAACTTTTTTTTTGGAAACGGCCGAAAATTCATGCGCGCGTGGATGTCATCCATATAATCAAATCAACATGGCCTAATGGTAACGTAATTTTCAAAGCGGGTCAATTCTATAACATCACAGTCGTATCCTCATAACCCCCACCCCCATCTCAACCCCACCCAAGCAAGACGCTTGTACTTGACATTTTTCAGGAACAGTGGTTCCGTTTTCTGTTCGGATAAACCTAAACTACTGTTATTTATCAATTCACTTGGCTAAATCTGGTCAAAATTTCTGAGTTTTAAACATCATCTCAGAGACGGTTCCCCTTGTTGCAAGTTGAAAGTGAAAGTGATCTCGAACCAGTTTAGCTCACTGAAGAGCTAAGGCCACAGCAAGTAAATTTTATGGATGACATCCTCCAAAGACTCCAAATTTAATGCGAGCGGGCGAAAAAAAAACAAGGCGGGCCGAAAAAAACAAGGTTCCTACATTTGAAAATTTTGACTCAATCATTATACAAATGGTTATTATTCAGTTAGAACATCACATGTACACAGCCAGCATCACATATCAGCATCAAAGTAAGAAACAAAACTTAAATCAAGTCTCCTCTCTTCATAGTTATCTACCATCTACCTTCCGGCATGGCAACAGACATCTTTGCCCATTTTCGACATGTTGACCACTGTCAGAAGGCAACAAAATTTTTTTGGTTTTTTTTCCAAATCAGGCGAAAATCAATGCGCGCGCGGATGTTGTAGTGATGTGAACTAAGCTAATGTGTTAGTACTGCTCCACCCACGCATGCCAAGGCAGACCAAGGCCACGCACCAGTAATAGAATACAGATGTTAGACTTCACCCTCCTACAAACTTGTCACTGTATAGATGCGCACAGTAGAGTACAGTCATGAAAACTCCTCCGGTGTGAGATTCATTATTGGGTATTCTTGAGTGTTGGAGAGAACACTACAGATGTCATCCATAAAAATTACTTGCTGTGGCCTAATCTTCCACTGGTCATGACAGACGCTATGTACAGTATTTACAGGTTCATTGCACCGGGGAAATTCCCCTAGCTCTTTTCGACAAGCACAATGAACAGTGGACCACGGTTTAACGTCCCGTTCTAGGGACTGCGACCCTAAACAGTAGCGTGCATGTCGGGTGAGCGACAACAGCCGGGATTCGAACCCCCAACCTCTTGGTCCAGAGGCAGGGTCTCTAACCACTGGACTACAGTACAAGGTCTGCTCTCCCCCCACTCCCATCCCAATACACATATTTAGGAAATTTTCACTACACGTTAAAAGAAAGTTTCAAACCTCACCTTCACAGCCAGATGTCTCTGCTTAGAGCTGGGCCGGTGGTGGAGGAGGGGTGGCGTTTCTCCGAGCAGATCTTTCGGCGGTATAAAATTCGCAGAACAGTATCCAACACGCCACCGCTTGGCTGGTGACAAAAACTACACTGGTTCAAAAAGAAAGCCCAATAAAAACGCATAAAACGTGTCAAAACTAAGCCGACGTCTAAAACCTCTGCTTGTAGAGTATGAAATATCCGTCTGTATGCGCCTTGCGAACAAGACAAACACACGACACAGTGTTTCCTCGTTCCGTTCTGTCTGAAATATCAAATGGAAATGTATCCCACACAGCAGTCACGGGAAGTACGGTGGCCCATAAGGACAAATACGTCGTCAGTGTATGGAATGATTAAAATTTCTGCTTCTGTCGGTCAGGAAGCCGGAAACACATTTTTTCCACGTCATTGTTAAAAGATTCATTAAACACGTAGTTTTGATGTTCCACCTGCCATAGATTACATATATTACATGTATATATGAAAGTACTATTATGTAAAACACTTCAATTACAGAATTTCCTCTCTAATTATGCAAAGCATTGCTCTATTTGCATAATTTGCATGTAATTATGTACATCTCTTTATAAGCTACACACATGTCGAAATTGGTGAAAATACGTTGATCCTTTCGGGATATCCGCTTTAAAAGATTTCGCCAGAAAGTCCCCTGCAGTTCTGGAACAAGCTGCTATGGGGACAAAACTTATACCACTTATCCCTGACGGGAAAAGCGATCTGTCACTAAAAACCCAAGACCGGAAGTTCAACTGCAGTACCAAGGTCATCCACCAGGAAGCCCATATTTGACCGTGACCTTTGTCTTCCAACGACCTACCAACATACCAGTGATACCATGTATCACAAGCCATAAAGGCGTTCTGAAGTTATGCTGACTACAAATGTGCGGAACATACACAAACACACACACACACTCACACAGACACACCAAAAACAATACCTCCATTTTTCATGGAGGTAAAAACTGTGCATGTGTTTCACGAACCCTAGTTTTTTTATGAACTGAAGTGAAAGGAAAGGAAACAGTTAATAAGTGCAGGGAAGTCTTGTTTGGTGCAGTTGATTTTGCATGTTGTAGGCACCACTAACTGCGTCTATGCAGAAACAAGACGCAATGAAAACATACATTACCATGGCGACGGTGGTTGCTTTTATTGTTTGCATGGCACTGCCATGTCTTCGTGATTTTGAAGAAGCCTTGGTACCCTCCCCTCCCGAGTGTATAGTGAACGAGCCCCAGGGTCACAGAAAGTACATGTAGGGCATCCGGCAGACAGGTTCTCCCAAGGGTTTCCAGGAATGTGGGCATGTCAACAGAGCTGGAAGACATTCCTGTGGACATCCATGTGGACAAAATTCCCGTGCAATTCCTAGAATTCTTGCGAACTGCACACAATACTGTACCATTAGGCTCCTCCCTGAAACGTCGCCAAAAATATTTTGAGACCTTTGTATGCCAGAAAACCTTACAAAACTATTTACACAAGTTGCATGAGAACTGCACCATCTGGTGAACATGTAACGTTAGTTATTAATTCACATTAACAACAGCCCTACAAGATGTCGTTCCTCCGTGTGTTTGTGGTTCTTCAGTGGTCAGTAGTGACCGGGGAAGGCCAGACTGACCAGTTCACCCTGTCACTGTGCAGGGTTTGGGAAGAGTGTTTGCAGACAAGTTGGTTTGAGTTATAACGTTATGAGAAGTCTGTGTGCTAAAATATTACCATATAGAATATCCATATTGGGCTAAGAAGGCACAATTGGCAAAGTTAGCTCTACATATTCATTCCTATAATACAATAATACAATATATGTTTCTATATGCTATTCAAAGCCACAAAACAGATACTTTTTAGAAAGTAGATTACAACCAAAATGTGTAGAAATGTGAATTATGCAGAATATGCACAGATTATGCAGATTATGCACGAAAGAGTATACCTTGAGCAATAGCACAAATCTACATGTGTATTCAAAGATGCAATCGATATGTTCATTCATTATGCTTTATAATGTTTACCGAAGGAAAAAATGTTTTTGCTACGTTTCCTCTGCTTCATCTTCTTCTTCTTCCGTTCCAAACACTGATCTCTGACCTGGCCAATGACATGATTTGTTGACGTCTCTCACCATGGTAACTGGTTCTGGGTAACATAATGTTGCAATTTCATAGTAGGAGGGATTTATACTCCTGTTTGAGCATATATATGAATGTATCTGAGTAAAGATTAACAGAGCAGACCATATGCGAAGGTAAACATTATGTATTTGCTTTGCAAATGTTACCTTTCTAGTTACTGTGTATATTCATTTGCATGAAAGCTGTATTATTGTATTGTGTGCAGGATGTACATGTATTGGTCAATGTTTGAATCTCTTTATTTCTAGCTATTGTTAGCAACTTGGAGCACTATGAGCTGGGAACTCCTGTGGCGATCTGTGGTGACTTTCTGGATATATTAGAGAAGCATGGCGTGGATTGTGGTAAGTAGATTGACACATCTTGCTTTTTACCACATGCATGCACAGTCAGCTCAGTGTACATTACGTAACATATAACTGTAACTAGAGAATTAACATTTGCAAAGCAAATGCATAATGTTTACCTACGGACATGGTCTGCTCTGTTAATTCTTACTCAAACACATTCACATACATGTACTACTTATATGGTGGTGACAGAAGCAGAGCAGACCATGAAATTGCAACATTATGTAACCCAACACCAGTCACCATGGTGACAGACGTCAACAAATCATGTCATTGGTCAGGTCAGAGGTCACTGTTTGGAGAAGAAGAAGAGGAGGAAGAAACTGAGTAAAAACAATATGTTTTCCTTCGGTAAACATAATTAGTAACAGATGCTACCCGGATATTGCAAGTTGTGACCAACAAAGATATATCAGAACATACAGACAGTATTGTATTTATTTGTTTGTTTATTTATTATTTGCACGTATAGAAAAGTTACATAATCAAACAATAACAATAAGAGAATATGCGGGGTAGGCCAGAAACCTAGGTGGTTTTTTAAGGGCCTACCCCAAACAAAGGTAACTACGATACATGACAAAACATATTGGAATTAAACATCAAAATTAAACAATGAAATAATTGATTAGTTAAACAAAATCAATACACAGAAATAATAACTGAAGAGTGTAAACTAGTTTTTACATCTACGAAAATGAATTAATCTAAGCCTTATAATTCAGGTCGCTGTTGCAGAAATAAACTGATTAGATGATTAACATAAAAATTAACGATTAAAACACACAATTCACACAGTAGAAAAATGACAAAATTGGTAGCTTCCAAAAACTGCAATGCCTATAGTAATGTTAGGAACACTGTCGGATAGGCCAGTGTTTAAACACTTGACCTGCACACCTAATTTATTTCATGTTGCTACAAGATGTGTTTTATGTGTCAATTTTATTCCCTAGGAACCTTGCGGGGTCCTGAAGAAGAGACAGCTGGAGTTGGACAGCTGCTGTCCTCAGTACAGCCCCATCCTGGTGATGGGGAACAGCAACAAGGTGAGCTGCTTACTAATGAATGAATGAATGAATAAATGAATGAATGAATTTTATTTACGTGTCTTGCGACTTATGTCGCCCAGCTCATATGGGCTTATGAGACATCAAAATATAAACATGAACAAAAACGTAGGTACAGAAATCATAATAAACATAAATCCAAATCAAAGCTTACTGTGAAAATTTGAGCGTCACATAGATAAGAATTGTCACAATATGCAGTTGATGAATTTGGTTGTAACATGACCTCACAGTCATACTGCAAATGTTGAATAAAACTGCACAATTAACAAAAGTAGTATCTTACGTTACTTTAAGTTAGACATTAAGCACTAAGACTACAATGTATAAATAGCTCTGATACGTCTGAAGATGAAGGTTTTTCATGTTATTTGTTACAGAGTCTGATCCAACTCCTAGTGATAAAGAAGAGACAAACAGGGAAGAACGAGGACACAAGCAACTCCTTCCACACAACTTTCCAGCCAGTGCTAGCAATCTTTGGCGAGCAAACCATTTTAACGACTGTTCTGAGATTCATACTGATCAAGCAATGTTTGGTTCAATATCTAGTGGGGTGTTTTCCATCAAACCTGCCCATGTTAATGACCCAATCTCTGTATACTGTGATCAGACCACAGATGGGGGAGGGTGGACGGTCATACAGAGGAGGTTTGACGGGTCTCTCGAGTTTTTCCGTCGTTTCGATGCTTACCGAGATGGGTTTGGAGACTCTAGTGGTGAGCATTGGCTAGGGTTAGACGATATCTACCGAATCACGGCCCAGAACTCGTATGAGTTGTACATAGAGCTGGAAGACTGGTCTGGGAATGTGAAGTTTGCTCGATACTCCAGCTTCTCAGTCGGTCCGTGTTGTGATTACACCCTGAGTGTGGGAGGGTACAGTGGGACAGCTGGGGATGGGTTTGGGATATCAGATTTCTTATCTACCAACAATGGTGAAAAGTTCAGCACCCGTTGGTTCGACCGAGACACTTACTCCTCGGATTCACTGGCAGAACTTTACGGTGGTGGCTGGTGGTTCGGTAGTTACAGCTACAGTAACCTGAACGGTCCGTACTTCCGAGACACTGACGGGTTCAACAGTAGCAATGGTGTGGGCGTCCGATGGGTTCCTTTCAACAATAACTGGTACTATTCTCTTAAAAAGACCAAAATGATGGTCCGTCCCAATAACTTCAGTACCAAGGTGCCAAACATGAGGCTACCTGTTGGAAAGTAACATAAAAACAATAGCTATAATGACATGCGGTAAACTTAGTTTTACGTGCAAGGTCACAAAATGTATAGACATCTCCGTTTCTATAGCCCTTGTGCCACAAATTAGTCTTCAATACCCATACATAATTCACCAGGACCATTTTGTAACATAGGAAGCTGTCTAATACAAGATCTCGGTTTACAAGTTAAACATACATTCCCCAATAGGACTTGTCTGTATTGCCTATGATTGTTTGGGTCACATCAAGACAGTGCAGTATGTTGTTAGCATGATCATTCCTTTGTATAAGTTGCTTCTTCAACTATAAAGTTGACATCATTCAAGCAGTGTTCTTCCAAATGTAGAAAGGGATTCTAAACTTTACTGTATGACCGCATACCCCACAAAACTATTTAAACACCAGTTGCGTGAGAATTTCACCATCTGGTGAACATGTACATTTGTACAGTAGTTGTTATTCACTCAGACAGCAGCCCTACAAGATGTGGTTCCTCCATGTGTTTGTGGTGACCGCAGTTCTTCAGTGGTCAGTAGTGACCGGGGAAGGCCAGACTAACCAGTTCACCCTGTCACTGTGCAGGGTTTGGGAGGAGTGCATTGAGACAGGTTAGTATGTGTTATAATCTTATACAAGAAATCTTTATGCTCAAAAGAATACCATATGGAACATTCATATATGCTTAAGAGGGCAAAAGTGATACAATTTGGTTTCATAGGTTAGATATTAGCTGCCATATTTTTTTCTACGACTTCTCGCTATGTTTTTATTTGATATCCACTGCCGCACAGCAGATCAATTTTATAAAATAGATAAAAATTGAAATGTGCAGGGATGTGTATGTTACCATATGGAGATTGTTTGACATATATGCACAGAATAGTATGCGTTAAGCGAAGTCCACCTTATCTTTTGATAGGACAAAACTACATGTACATTCAAAACTACAATTGATACAGGAATAAGTGTGCCTCTAGTTCATCCACAAGACATTATTATTGTCTAAACTGCTTTGCATGAAGTCCCTATTGTTATCAGATAGTAAATGCAGGATTTATATTGTTCAACATTAAATCTCTCCATTCTAGCTACTAAGAACAGCTTGGAGAACTCTGAACTGGGAACTCCTGAGGCGATCTGTGGTGACTTTCTGAATATGTTAGAGAAGCATGGTGTGGATTGTGGTAAGTAGACTTACACAACATGCTTTGTAGTACATGTAGAGGGTACTTTGTATAACTTATGATAGTCACAGATCAGAGACAGGTACTATTGCAAGTTGTGGCCTATATATACCACAACATGCAGACCAGTATTCTATTGACAGAGTCGAAGTAGTAATTTAAAAAGAAAACAAGATTGAAAGCTTACAGCTGGTGTAATGACAAGTATTAGTAATGTTAGGAACACTGTCAGGTAGGCCAGTGTTCGCACACTTGACCTGACCTCATTTATTTCATATACCGTACGGGATCCACACATGATGTATTTTATGTGTTGGTCTTTTCCCCTAGGAACCTCACATGGCCCTGAAGAAGAGAAAGCTGGGGTTGAACAGGTGCTGTCCTATCTAGACCCTCTTCCCAGTAATGAGGAGCAACAGGAAGGTGAGCTCCTTAATGTGGAAATTTGAAAAACACACAGGTAAAAATTTACACTGTATAAAATTGATCAATATAGTTATATGGTTATAATCAGTCTGTATAACTGGCCCCTCCCCGGGGGCCGGCTGGATGTTGGGCGGCCGGCAAAAACGATTTAATCAGGCTAGGTTATAATATGGCCATACAGTCACCACTATAGTGGAAAACTGCAAAATGAAAGTATAATTGAAAAATATTTTAATTTTTAGTTAACTTCAGTTTAACTTTCATTTAGCAGTTTTCCACCATAGTGATCTTATGACTGTATGGCCATATTATAACCAAGTTGTAAAAGTTGTACTAAGGCCATGTTGTACAATTTAGCTGTAACACATCTAAAAACTAAAAGTATGCGGGTATTTTCTCAGAGTCGACCCCTGGCAATGAAGAAGAGACAAACAGAAGAGTTCGCGTCTCCAAGCAACACCTTCCACACAACCGTCCTGCCAACACTGACGATGTTTGGCGAACAACATACTTTGACGACTGCTCTGAGTGGTATACTGCTCAAGCAACGTTTGGTTCGATATCTAGTGGGGTGTTTTCTATCAAACCTGTGAATTTTAACGGCCCAATCTCTGTATACTGTGATCAGACCACAGATGGGGGAGGGTGGACGGTCATACAGAGGAGGTTTGACGGGTCCCTTGAGTTTTACCGTTATATCGGTGCTTATCAAAATGGATTTGGAGACTCTAGTGGTGAGTATTGGCTGGGGCTAGAAAACATCCACCGTATAACGGCCCAGAACGCGTATGAGGTGTACATAGAGCTCGAAGACTGGTCTGGGAATGTGAAGTTTGCTCGATACTCCAGGTTCTCAGTCGGTCCAGGTAGTGATTACACCCTGAGTGTGGGAGGGTACAGTGGGACAGCAGGGGATGGGTTTGGGATATCAGATTTCTTATCTACCAACAATGGTGAAAAGTTCAGCACCCATTGGTTCGACCGAGACACTTACTCCTCCGACTCACTGGCAGAACTTTACGGTGGTGGCTGGTGGTACGGTAGTTACAGCTACAGTAACCTGAACGGTCCGTACTTCCGAGACACCGACGGGTTCAACAGTAGCAATGGTGTGGGCGTTCGATGGGTTCCTTTCAACAATGACTGGTACTATTCTCTAAAAAAGACGAAAATGATGGTCCGTCCCACTGACTTCAGTACCAGGGTACCAAACATGAGGCTACATGTATGAAAGAAAAGTAAAAAAAAAAACTAGCTATGTTTTTTTTTTTTGTTTTGTGAATCAAGTTATGTGCAAACTTGATTCACAAACACCCAGAGTATAGAGTGATAATTAAACATCTCTGTTTCTATAGCCCTTGGGCCACACAGTAGTCTTCAATATCCATACTTAAGTCACCAGGACGGCAGGACCATTTTGTAACATAGCATGCTAGCAAGCTGTCTAAAGCAATACAAAATCTCGGTTTGCAAGTTACACATACATTCCTCAATAGGACTTGTCTGTCTAAGAATTTGCCTATGATTGCTTGGGTCACATTAAGACAGTACAATATGTTGTTAGCGTGACCATTCCTTTCTATAAGTGTTCTTCCAAATGTAGAAAGGGATTCTAAACTTTACTGTATGACATCATACTCCACAAAACTATTTATACACTAGTTGCATGGGAACTTCACCACCTGGTGAACATGTACATTTGTACAGTAGTTGTTATTCACTCAGACAAGAGCCCTACAAGATGTTGTTCCTCCGTGTGTTAGTGGTGGTCACAGTTCTACAGTGGTCAGTAGTGACCGGGGAAGGCCTGACTGACCAGTTCACCCTGTCACTGTGCAGGGTTTGGGAGGAGTGCATTGAGACAGGTTAGCATGTGTTATAATCTTATACAAGAAATCTTTGTGCTCAAATGAATACCATATGGAACATCCATATATGCTTAAGAGGCAAAAGTGATACAATTTTATTTCACAGATCAGATATTAGCTGCCGTCTTCTTTCTACGACTTCTTACTATGTTTCTATTTGATATCTAATGCCAGAAAACAGATCCTCTTCAAAAGATAGATAAAAAATAAAGTGTGCAGAGTTGTTTATGTTAACATATGGATATTGTTTGACATATATGCACAGAAGAGTATGCGTTAAGCGAAGTCCACCTTTGTCTTTCGATAGGACAAAACTACATGTAAATTCAAAACTACAATTGATACAGGAATAGTTGTGCCTCTAGCTCATTCACAAGGCATTATTACTGTCTAAACTGCTTTGCATGAAGTCCCTATTGTCATCAGATAGTTAATGCAGGATTTATATTGTTCAACATTAAATCTCTCTATTCCAGCTACTGAGAACAACTTGGGGCACTCTGAGCTGGGAACTCCTGAGGCAATCTGTGGTGACTTTCTGGACATGTTAAAGAAGCATGGCGTGGATTGTGGTAAGTAGACTTACACACCATGCTTTGTAGTACATGTAGAGGGTACTTTGTATAACTTATAATAGTCACAGATCAGAGACAGATACTATTGCAAGTTGTGACCAAGACAGATATACCACAACATGCAGACCGGTATTCCATTGACAGAGTCGAAGTAGTAAAAGAAAACAAGATTGAAAGCTTACAACTGATGTAATGACAAGTATTAGTGATGTTTGGAACACTGTCAGTTAGGCCAGTATTCGCACACTTGACCTGACCTCATTTATTTCATATACCGATTCACATATGATGTATTTTATGTCTTGGTTTTTTCCCCTAGGAACCTCACATGGCCCTGAAGAAGAGAAAGCTGGGGTTGAACAGGTGCTGTCCTATCTAGACCCTCTTCCCAGTAATGAGGAGCAACAGGAAGGTGAGCTTCTTACTGTGGAAATTTGAAAAACACACAGGTAAAAATTGACACTGTATAAATTGATCAATTTGGTTGTAACATGGCCATACAGTCAGCACTATAGTGGAAAACTGCAAAATGAAAATATAATTGTAATACATTAAGTTGTACTAAAACCATACTGTACATTTAGCAGTAACACATATAAAAACTAAAAGTATGCGGTTATTTTCTTAGAGTTGGCTCCTGGCGATGAGGAAGAGACAAACAGAGGAGTACAAGGCCACAAACTACCACTCAACCGTCCTGTCAACACTGACGATGTTTGGCGAACAACATACTTTGACGACTGCTCTGAGTGGTATACTGCTCAAGCAATTTCTGGTCCCATATCTAGTGGGGTGTTTTCTATCAAACCTGCCCATGTTGCCCACCCAATCTCTGTATACTGTGATCAGACCACAGATGGGGGAGGGTGGACGGTCATACAGAGGAGGTTTGACGGGTCTCTTGAGTTTTTCCGTCAGATTGGCGCTTATCAAAACGGGTTTGGAGACTCCAGTGGTGAGTACTGGCTGGGGTTAGAAACCATCTACCGCATAACAGCCCAGAACACGTATGAGTTGTACATAGAGCTCGAAGACTGGTCTGGGAATGTGAAGTTTGCTCGATACTCCAGCTTCTCAGTCGGTCCGGGTGATGATCACACCCTGAGTGTGGGAGGGTACAGTGGGACAGCTGGGGATGGGTTCTATCTGTCACATTCATCACATACCAACAATGGTATGAAGTTCAGCACCCGTTGGCACGACCAAGACACCTCCTCAGGTTCAATGGCAGAACTTTACGGTGGTGGTTGGTGGTACGGTAGTTGGAGCCACAGTGACCTGAACGGTCCGTACTTCCGAGACACTGACGGGTTCAATAACAACAACGGCCGTGGCGTCTTTTGGTATCCTTTCAACAATAAAGAATACTATTCTCTAAAGAAGACCAAAATGATGATCCGTCCCACAGACTTCAGCACCAGGGTGGCAAACATGAGGCAAGGGAAGGAGTAAAAGCACAAAGTTCAGCTTCCATACCACCAGCCACTCCTCATGCAGAAAACTTAGTCTTTACATGCATGACTTGGCAGGCCTTTAATACATGCATACAAAACCCGCAACAGCCAGAATTAAGCCTCAAAATCCATCTATGTGTAAACCAATAGATGGGATATTTGTATGTTCTTATACAAAACTATGAAGTATGCAGTTTTCATTCCTTGGTACTGTTTTACTTCATACAATGTAAAGTAACAGTCTTATCTAGAATATGGACATTGATTAATATCTTAACCAGGAGAGGGTACCATGATGTATTCTTTGGGAAGTACAGGTTTTGGAGAACAACTTGTATACAGGCAACAAACTATGTGCAGGAATAAAAGTGCGTGATTTGAAATGATTGTCTATTGGCCTTTGACTGGTTCTTGTCACTTTAGAGCCAACGTTACATTATTCAGGCATTATCTGGGAGTTATGAAGAATCTAGAGATTCTGATATATTACAAAATATCAATATTGCTGGACAGTTGCAACCTGTACGAGATGCCTACATGGGCATAGAAATAGGAATAAAAACCTGCTCTTATTATAATATGATAGCCTAGAAATATCTGGACAGAGCATCTACAAGTAGATGTTTGGAGGGTAAATTGCATTGCTTTCCTAGCTGCCCTTTTCCGTTACAAACCGCCTAACTTGGTGGCAGACAGTTTGTGACAGAAACGGGCAGCTACGAAAACGTTATGATTTAGCCTCCCAACATCTGCTTGGAGATAAGATACAACCAAGGTCAAACATGGCGGAGATAGAACGAAGGCGCTTATTATCAGTTCCTGAAAGTCGACCTTGAGCAGAGGAGTGCACTTCAAGGTTATCATAATTCTACAAGATAGTGGTGATGAAGAAACGTCAGACATGAATCCTGTCAAAAAAATTGTGAACAGTTTACATGTATTATTGCCGTGTTGCTGTTCAATAATAGGTCCAAAACAATAGTCTCCAATACACATATTACATAATTCACCAAAGGGCCTTTTTTTGTAACATTCCTACCTGTCTAAAGCAACAAAAGATCCCGGTTTACAAGTTACACATACATTCCCCAATAGGACTTGTCTGTCTTGCCTATGATTGCTTGAGCCACATTAAGACAGTACAGCATGTTAGGGTGATCATCCATCGCTATCTAAGTTTCTTCTTAGATTATGAAGTTGACATCACACAAGCGGTGTTTTTTTCCACAAAAAGGTCAGGGATTCTAAACTTTACTGTATGACAGCATACCCCACAAAACTATTTATACACCAGTTGCATGAGAACTTCACCATCTGGTGAACATTGTGCATTTGTACAGTAGTTGTTATTCACTCAGACAGCAGCCCTACAAGATGTGGTTCCTCTATGTGCTCGTGGTTACTGCAGTTCTACAGTGGTCAGTAGTGACCGGGGAAGGCCAGACTGACCAGTTCACCCTGTCACTGTGCAGGGTTTGGGAGGAGTGCATTAAGACAGGTAATAGCATGTGTTATAATCTTATACAAGAAATCTTTGTGCTCAAATGAATACCATATGGAACATTTATATATACTTGTACAAAAGTGATACAATTTGGTTTCACAGATCAGATATTAGCTGCCATATGTTTTCTACGACTTCTTTCTATATTTCTATTTGACATCCAATGCTAAACAACAGATCCCTTTTAGGAAATAGATAAAGGAATACAGTGTGCAGAGATGTTTATGTTACCATATGGAGATTGTTTGACATATATGCACAGAATAGTATGCCTTAAGTGAAGTCCACCTTTGTCTGTTGATAGGACAAAACGAAATGTACATTCAAAGAGCTAGCTATTTATCTCATTTTTTTCGTTCAGATAACTATTTCATTCCATACACGTGCTAAGAACCTTTACCTGTGTTAACACATAATTTTTTCACTAATAAGAAAAATATCTCTATAAAGCTCTTACTAGTGAACCTCTTACTAAGTGAAAAAATGAGTTAACACCCCCCTAACTCATTTTTTCACTAATAAGAGACTCCATTGAATCTCTTACTAGTGAAAAAATGAGTTAACACCCCTCTAACTCATTTTTTCACTAATAACAGACTCTATGAATCTCTTACTAGTGAAAAAATGAGTTAACACCCCTCTAACTCATTTTTTCACTAATAACAGACTCTATGAATTTCTCTTAACACGTATTTTACCCACTTTTTTCAATACTAACTAAATAAATGTGCTAAATAGTCAAGTCTACATTCAAAACTACAATTACTGGTACAGGGATAGGTGTGCATCTGGCTCATTCATTATACATTATTATTGAGTAGACCCCTTTGCATCGAGGCTCTATTGTTATCAGATAGTTAATGCAGGATTTATATTGTTCAACATTAAATCTCTCCATTCTAGCTACTGAGAACAACTTGGAGAACTCTGAGCTGGGAACTCCTGAAGCGATCTGTGGTGACTTTCTGAATATGTTAGAGAAGCATGGTGTGGATTGTGGTAAATAGACTAACACAACATGTTTTTTTTTTACTATGTGTAGAGGGTACTTTGTAAAACTTATAATAGACACAGATCAGAGACAAATACTATTGCAAGTTGTAACCAAGAAATATATACTACAACATGCAGACTAGCATTCTATTGACAGAGCCTAAGTAGAAAAGTCGTATTGAGGTCACCTTGTGGCGCCGAATGGCAGCCGCGCGCACAGACCCTTGCGACAGTTCTACAGAAGTGTGGGTGGAGCAAATATATGTATCATGTGTATTATGTGATTGTAAACCTTGTATCAATTCAGCGCTATAAAAGGCTGCGATTGCACGGGCAATGTTTGACCAATAAACCGTTTTTAAAGAAACAAGATTGGTAGCATACAAATGGTGTAATGACATACCGTAGTAATATTCAGAACAAGGTCAGATAGGCCAGTACTTGCACACTCGAACTGACCCAGAAGTGTAAATGTTAAATCTAGGAGCTGCACACTTCGTTTATTTCTTACACCGTACGGGAGCTACATGATGTAGTTTATGTGTTGGCCTTTTACCCTAGGAACCTTACAGGGCCTTGAAGAAGAGACAGTTGAAGTTGAACAGGTGCTGTCCTCAGTACAGACCCATCCTTCTGATGGGGAACAGCAACAAGGTGAGCTGCTAACTGTTGTAAATTTGAAGAAAATAAAGATAAAAATTGTCAGAAGAGGAAATTGATCAATTGAGTTTTGAAAGGACCATATTGCAACTGTAGGGGAAAACTGTACAACGAAAGTAACATAGTAAAGTTGCATTAAATTGTATATATAGGTGTAAAACATCTTAAGCTGTATGTCTTGTCATTGGTCACAGCGTCTCAACCAAAACATGGCAATGAAGAAGAGGCACGGAAAGAAAAACTACGCTACAAGCAACACCTTCCACACAGAAACACGAGCAACGTTGACAACCTTTGGCGAGAAAACCATTTTGATGACTGCTCTGAGATTCATACTGCTCAGGCCATGTTTGGTTCTATAGCCAGTGGGGTGTTTTCTATCAAACCTGCCCATGTTAACGACCCAATCTCTGTATACTGTGATCAGACCACAGATGGGGGAGGGTGGACGGTCATACAGAGGAGGTTTGACGGGTCTCTTGAGTTTTTCCGGGGTTTCGGCGCTTATAAATATGGGTTTGGAGACTCTAACAGCGAGTACTGGCTGGGGTTAGAAAACATCCACCGTATAATAGCCCAGAACGCGTATGAGTTGTACATAGAGCTCGAAGACTGGTCTGGGAATGTGAAGTTTGCTCGATACTCCAGCTTCTCAGTCGGTCCGTGTTGTGATTACACCCTGAGTGTGGGAGGGTACAGTGGGACAGCTGGGGATGGGTTCAGTCTGTCTCATTCATCATCATCAAGTACCAACAATGGTATGAAGTTCAGCGCCCGTGCGCATGACCGTGACCGTGACACAGGTTCAATGGTAGAATACTACGGTGGTGGCTGGTGGTACGGTAGCGGCAGCTACAGTAACCTGAACGGTCCGTACTTCCAAGACACTGACGGGTTCAACAGCAACAACAACGGCCGTGGCGTCTATTGGTATCCTTTCAACAATGACCATTACTATTCCCTAAAGAAGACCAAAATGATGGTCCGTCCCACCGACTTCAGCACCAGGGTGGCAAACATGAGAGAAGTAAAACCTCAAAGAGCCTAAAGCTAAAGTTCAGCTACCGTACCACCAGTCACTCATCAGAAAACTTACTCTTCACATGCATAACAGGCCTATTGTATACAGTCATATACTATACAAAGCCCGCATGCCCAATGTAATCTCCCACAATTTTCAGAATTTAAAAAATTGTACCAATCCATACATGTCATATTTCTTACGAAGAGTTTGGATATTAGGAGACAGCTTCTGTTATTAAGAAGTCCTATAGTTTGTATACGTCTATGACTATATGCTTTCACCTGTGTGATAAATACAGTGTTTAGTTGAAAGTCCTGCCACCTTGCATTGCGTAACGGAATCACTAGGGGGCATGGTTGTAACATTCCTTTTTCTTTTCTGCTTGAACCAGGTATATGTCAGTGCAAATTTGTTTAGACACACACTTGAATTGTGATTTCAGTGAGATTGCAATATGAACTGCGGTGTTTATCATATTTCCAGAGTTTTGAATGATAACATACATGTATGTGAAACATTTACATACCTGGTATTTATTATATTTCATTTAACTAGATTTGATACATTACTTGAGTGTAATATACACTCCCTCAAAACATCTGAGAGATACAATTTATAAAATCTACAAGATACAGTGGCTATGAAAACATGCTTAGATGTAGCATATAAATGCCATGAAACATTGCCACTATTCATACAATGATTTGCAGATTATTACTAAACATTAAATGCAAGGGTATAAGGATATATGGTAAGGATTTCCTTTAAGGCCAGACCAATTTAATTTGTTGTTTCTCGGATTTTTTCAGAAAACATATGAAGCAACAGGGTAAAATAAACAAACAAACAAAAAAAAACAGGCCAAGGCACCCCATGATAGCCGGAAATGTTACGATGTGAGCCATGAAGTCAACATACCAGGCTGGTTTATAATAATAGATTTTGAACTTTTAATGAAACGAAGTTGCATTGTTACTTTGGAAAACTTGAACAACTAGGAAGAAAAGGACTTTCTTCAACCGTTGGGGTCAAAATATGTCTTTCCTTGAGCAATTTTCGGTTGATTTAGAACCTACAATTTTATTTTTTTTTTTTTTGCAAATCAGAAAAAAATGGACAGTGTGATTCCGAGAAACAACAATTAAATTGGTGTGGCCTAAAGGAAAAACAGCACGGTCCATGAAATGAAAACTACAGACCGAATAGTGTTATAATGCATACAAATATCGGCTTCCATTTACCCCTTTTACTCGGTGATTGTTATTGTTGTGTATAAATAATTTCGAATTCCGAAAAAAATCCAAACTTCTTCCCCCACCTGTTCCGGACGTTGACCTCTGACCCCGCACCTGCCGAAGCACCACCCACAATGCACTCCGCGGGACGCTACCATGACAACCAGACGCGAGAATGCGGAAGTAACATCCTGCAACAGGTTGCATGTAACAACAAGTGTGTTTTGACTTGTTTTCAGTCGATTCGCAAAACATAGCGTCATCCAAAGGTCGGGATATTTCTTCTGAATCGACATGGGTACACTGTGAGACAGAGAATAATAATGAAGATAATTTCAAGTAGCTAAAAAGCTTCGTTCAACAATCCAAGGAGAACCTCTTTTGGCACAAACTATGGATC